ATAAAGTACAATTCAAAGTCATTTATTTGCTATTATCTATTAATCAAAATAAGAATATATTTTGATAACAAAGCTCTCACAAGTTTAGAAATCACAGGAAAGCTGAGTGAATGAATTCGTACATGAGACGGGAAATTTGTTTGCATCTTATAGTTCACATCGCGATGTAGCCAGTGTATCTATAAAAATTAACACAGTCATTTACACTTACGTATTCTAGTGATTCGTAAATCCCTTCATGAACATTTCGACAAAAATTTGCTTTTATATCGTCCCTTTTAGCTATACATTTCAATTTATTAARAAGAAGTTCGCACGGGTTCAGCTCTGGAGAGTAAACTGGTAAATAAACAACATCTACACCTCTTTCTAAAAKCCACTGCGATAACGCATAACCTCCAGCAGACTGGTGAATGCCACAGTTATCAAGGATTATGATGTCCCCGTATTGTAAAATACTTTGTCCGTTCCTCATTGAACTCTGGCCTACTTCTCCCCAAARATTAAGAAACGACGCAGTGTCACTTGTACCGTCCTCAGTATTAGCATACAATACTCCTTCGATTCCCATTAGCAAGTTTAAAGTTACGTTTGAAGAGCTCAGGTATCGTCCTACTTCCACACAAGAGGTATTCACTAAGGAAAAGCCGTAGTTTGGTCTACTGGAATCCGGGAGTCTAAATCCAGCTTCATCAAAGCACTTTATTCTGTGTGGGTTAATCGTGTTCATGAAGTTCAAAAAATCTTGACAGTAATCTACATTTTCTGGAGTAAATTTTTCAGCTTTTGCTCGGGACAGTCTTTTCCATGTCCAAGTTTCCCMATTATTTAAGCGACTTTGAACTGCTCTTGCGACAGCAGACTTGRAAGTTCCGGTTGGTATATTGCAATGTGTATTGACAGCATCGTAGATTTTAGCATAGGGGAAAGATGGTCTAGCTGTCTTTAAAGCTTMAATGAAATCAAGATCTTGTTGTTGTAGCCGAGGGGGATTGTTGCCACCTTTCCGCTGATGAGTAATATCACCTTGTTCGCAACATTGTTTCCATAGCTTTTGAACGACCATTCGACTCAAATTGAAGTGTTTAGCAACTTCTGTAAATGAT